TTGGTATTATTATAACCTTTCTATATATATATATAGACTTCTATCTTGTGCAAGAATAATTTTAGAGACTTTTTTATAGCAAAAAGGTTTGTAAATTTTTTTTTAATTTTTTATTTAATTTAATTTTTATTTATGATAATTATTTATAAATTAAATATTAATATCTTAAAATAATCAAATTCTTATATATTAAATAAAAATCTCTTTCTTACACAAAATATAAATCTTTATCTTGCCAACAGTATTTTTAGAAGTTTTTATTGGACAGGAAGATTTTTAGAATTTTTTTAATTTTTTATTTATTTCAATTTTTATTTATCATAATTATTTATAAATTAGATTTTAATATTTTAAAATAAATTATTAATAAATAAAAATAAATTATTTATCATAAATCTAAAATATAATTTATTTATTTATTTATATAATAATTATTTATTATATTTCATTATATATTTATTCGTTATAATATTTGATTATATAAAATGAAAATTTATTTTAAATACTAGTTAAAAATAACAGAGAATACGTCTTCAAATCATATTTTTATAGCTGTTCACTTTTGATTCTTCAACTAATATTTTAAGAATATTTTGTTAATACTCTCCTTTTAAAATCATCTTTAAAAGTTTTTAAAAAGTTAAAATAATTTTAGCTTATAAATGGTTTTACTCCTTTTAAAGTAAATGATTTTTATTTCTCGTCCTTAATTATTTTTTTTTAGGTTTATCTTTCAAAATTTTGAAATCATTTATTTTTTGTCATTATTTTTTTTTTTTTTGAGGGAAATAAGATTATGTCATTTCTTTCAAAATAATTGGAACAATACATGAGGGAATAAATTCAAAAGTGTGAGAGCTAGCATAACATCGTGACACCCTAGCTAAACAGGTTAAATTTACAAATGATGTGACACACAATAGTTATAAGGAGAGAATTGTTAATGTGTCTCAAATCTCAACTTGTCAATCCTCCTAACATGATATTCATAAATTTGCTTCGTTTACAAAGGTTAATAATTAATTTTTAATCCCTAAATCAACTATAATAAAATCAATATATATATATA